AAGAGCCAGACTGAATATCGCTTGGGCCTTGTTGATGGGAGTGGTGTGCAGCGCCGTTAACTATGGATAATTTCATATGAGGAAGGAAACAAGGAAAAACAAAAAAATAAAATCTGTGGATCAATGGATGTGGAGGGGTTGGATGAAGAAGTTGAGGGGGCTCGTCAGGCGGCAGCCCGCCGCGTGGCGGAGTGGTTGACAGTGCCCGACGACTTGCAGTCCAAGCTCCCCAAGTTGCGAGCCAACGTCCACGCCGGCCAGCTGGCCACCGACGCCCAGCTGCGCGCCCTCGTCCAGGTTCAACTCGACAGCGCCCGCACGGGCCTCGACCTCCTCCGACTCTCTCTCGGCCGCATCGCCAACGTGCAGGCCAAGTACGCGTCCCCATACTCGCACTTCGCAACCCCCCCCCAAACCAACTCAACACTTTCTACGCGTGGCGTCAGCCTCTCCGCCGTGGACAAGCTGTGCGCGGAAACACAGGGCCTCATCGGGCAGTACGAACTCATCAAAGCTGGTGCGCACCTCCCGCCCTCGCTTCGTTTGGTTGCTGCTGCTGCTGCTGCACTGACACAATCCATTTTGGTTGTGTGGGTTGTGGTTCGTTGTGTGCGGTGGTGCGTGTATGCGTGTCGCGTCCAAATTCAACGTGTAGTGAACGATGCCCGAACCAATTTGCACTACACCAGGCGGCAGCTTGACCGCACACTCGAGATCCCGCGAAAGGTGCGCCGCCGCCGCCGCCACGCGGCTGGTGGTCTCCTGTCACCCATTCATTCATTCATTCGTTCATTCATTCGGCTCATGCGCCTGTATATATCCGGGGGGCCGCACAGATCGAGGAGATCCACGACATGCTCGAGAACGAGAAGAATCTCCTGCAGGTGTACAACGAAATCAAGAAGCTGGAGAAGATGCGCGAGGGCGCCTTGCACGAGGCCCGGTACCACTCCATCTGCAACGCACACGCACACGCACACGCACACGCGCGGAGGCTTTGGCGAGGGCCGAGGCTGACAAATGATGATTGTTGGGTGGGGTGGGTGGGGGAATTGGCGGGGTTGGTGCATCAGCGGCAACACTGAACAGTACGAGGTGCTGGAGGAGGTATTCAAGGACGTGCCCGGCATGTTCGAAGGTATTACTTCCCCTCCTCCCCCCCAATGCGGCCACAACTTTCGAAAGTTCTGCGGCGGCGGAGGCGGCTGCTGACGGCGGCGGCGGCGCGAGTTGCGCAGTGTTTGAGGAGAAGCTCTACGATCTTACGCGGCAGACCATCACCCTGGCCAAGGCACGTCGATCTCTTTTCGGCCCTCCCGCCATCCGCGGGTTGGTTCTGGCCCGCAGTACGTCCGGCCGGACCGCTAATTAATGTGGACGCGTCCATGATGGTGGCGGCTGTGCAGGAACGGCCGTCGGTGCTGGTAAAGGCCCTCCAGGTGGTGGAGCGGGAGCACAAGCTGTGGGAAGCCCGCGCTGGTACCCTCTTCATCCCGCCCTCCGCCACCACCTACTGCATGAGCTCTGGAGGGATGACGACGAGAACGACGACAACGATGAGGGCTGCTCATCATTTTCATAACTTACCCCGCTACCTACCGACCTGCTGTGCGTGCAGCAGCCAAGGGGAAGAAGAAGTCGAAGAAGGACAAGCGGAACGACATCGACCCGCGCGAGAAAATCAAGGAGCACATACGCATCTCCGTCGGCGAGCGCTTCCGACAGGTCGCCACCACACGACACACACGACACACACGACATACACCACTCAGCCCCATCGCTCTTCTCCGTCGTTTTGCACTGCGCCTCAGACCGCATAATTGCCTACCCGCCTTGTGGTGTGTGTGTCGTGTCGCGTGTCGTGCAGGTATTTGCCGACTGTGGGGAAGATGTGCAAAAGATCATCTCCCGCTCGGCGCTGCTCTCCGAAGATCTCGACGTGGTGGTGCACCAGGTCGTGCCCTGCTTCCCCGAGCAGTAAGCCCCCCGCCCCTCTTCCCCACAATTGCCACCGACCACCGCACACGCACGACACGATCTGCGTGAGGTGACGTATTCTCGCTCTCGCTCTCTGAACTGTTGGCAGCTTCAACATAGATGCGTTCTTCGTGGAGGAGTACCACCAGCGCCTGAAGGCCATGTTCTCGGAGTTCGCCCAGCAGGCCGACGACCTCTCCACGCAGGAGATCCTCGTACTCGGTATTTCCGAAAATCGTCCCCTCCCTCCCTCTTCTTCTTCTTCTTCGTTCATGCTTCGTTCTTTCTTCACTTTGCAGTGGAGTGGGTCCACAAGTCGTACGAGCCCCAGATGAAGGCGCTCGGGGCCAAGGAGGTCGCCGACTCGCTGATGGACGTCCTCGAGCCCCTCATGCTCTCCTACAAGGCCGATGCCGCGGTACCGCCCGCTCGGTTTTGTGGTGTTGGTGGATTGGAGTTGGTGGTGTCACTAACGGCCTTGCATTGTGTAACAGAAAATGATGAACGAGTGGACGGGCCGGTTGATCGAGCAGGACAAGCAAGCGGAACCCGACCAGGCAAGCCTAGCTACACTCCCCTTACGCTTCACCTTCCCACAACACCCCCTAACACGATCGGTGTGTTGCACGCGTGTGTGCGGTGTACAGCTGGACGGACTGTTCTACACCGACGCGCCCGTCCTTCTCTTCAAGTTCATCAACCAGCAGATCGACGTCGTCCGGCCCACCGCCTGCCCCAGGTTCATCGGGCTCGTGGCCGAAGAATGCCTCACGGTGCTGGAGCGCTACCAAAAGGCCCTCTTCCACACCATCAGGAGTACGTGCACATTTATTTATTTATTTTCTATTAAGGCAATCGTGTGTGTGTGTGTGTGTGTTTCCCTCATGCCTCGTTTGCACTCGCGACTCAAAATGCAGAGGAGGTGGACAGCCTGTACATGGAGAACATATTGGCCATGATCAACAACAACCACAAATGCCACGAGTGCGCGGCCCCGCTGCCATTTCCCCTTTGCCGCTGACACTGCACTATCTCACCCTTGGGGCGGGATTGATCGTGGACACACACCCACACACACACACAATAGCTATTTGCAGGATCTGGGGCGCAAGCTCGCCAAGGCGCTGGAGGCCGACGCCATGGCCAAGCTCAACATCAACGGCGTGGCCGGCGTGTTCTATCAGATCGCTGAGGGTGCTGCCCCCCCCGCCTGTTCATCGCTACCGCTCTGTTTGTCCCGCTTGCTCACCTGGAGGTACCGCTTGACCGCCCACAGAGGCCATCAAGACGGTGGTGGCCATCATCTTCAAGGACCTCGAGCCTGCCCTGGTCAAGATATTCCACAAGGATTGGTGCGTGCGCACACACGCCACACAACCACACGACACAACCACACGTCCGCGCACCAACGGGAATGAACTGCTCACCTCATTCACCACCATGACTGTGCTCCCCCCCAACAAACCAAACCAAAATCGGGTGACGGCGGGCGCAGGTACGAGGACGATCTCATCGAGGCCATCGTGGAGACGGTGAAGGACTACTACGACAACGAGTGCATCAAGGGATACATCGTTGACTCGGCCCTGCGCAAGATGGTTCGACCCCCCCCCCCAACCCACCACTCCCCCCCGGAGAGGGAACTAACCTGCCCGTGTCGTGTGGTGTCGTGTGACAGTCGCAACTGATCCTGGACCAGCTGGTGTACCGGTACGTGGCGGAGATGGTGTCCCGCAAGTCGTCCTTCGAAAAGCGGACGGTGAAGCGGATGCAGGACGACGAGCAGGCCATCCACGACTTCTTCGTCAAGGTGCCCCATGCCCCTTTCCCTCTGCTGCGCCATACGCACGTGATGACGATGACCACGATGATGATGATGATGGGGCGAGTAACCGATGACCACCGCGGCTCTGGGCAGGACGGCGACCTCAAAGAAAAGCAGGTGGCGGCCGCCCTGCAGATTCTCTTCGACCTCCGTCAGATCGTTGAGTGGTAAACGTTGCCCCCCCCCCTCCAAGAGGGTGTTGATGTGTTGCAACACATGTATTTAAACCCCCCCCCCATTGTGTGGTGCACCACGGTGGCAGTGACGCGACGTCGGTGGTGGAGAACTTTGCGGAGCTGTTGAAGCACAGCCCGGACATCACGATGGACACCTTTGCCGGCCTCCTGGCCCGCCGCCCCGACCTGTCCAAGGCGCAGATCAAGGAGCTGGCCGAGGCCTGCGCCGTCATCCACCAGAAAAAGCAGCTCGAGCGGGAAGCGCTCGGCGGCGACGGCTCCGACGCCAAGAAGCCCTCCTCCGGCGAAGGTACGCCCCTCCAATGTTGGGCGTGCGCGCGCGTCATTGTGTTCGATGCGGTGTGTGTGTTTTGCGTGTATGCGTGTGCGTGCGCGTGCGCGCAGTGTGTGCGTTCGTTCCATTCATTTTCGCGTCTCCACCAGATACGGGGGAGGAGGGCGAGAAGACGCCGAGGAAGGGCGGCCTGTTCACGAGCATCCAGGAGGCGCAGGCGTCGGGCGTGACGTCCTTCGCCAAGGTGTTCTCCCTCGTCAGCAACGTCAACATCAAATCCAAGAAATAAGTACTTAGAATAATAAGAACAAGAAGTAGCAGTGGGCGCGTGGTGGTGGTGGCATTTTAAGTTCATTGGTGGGCAGACTGCGGAAGAGGAGGGTCAAGCTACTGCAAGGAGGGCGCCACCAACGGCCGGGTGCCGCCTCAGCAGCCGAGCCCTCCTGCGCCGCTGCGAGCCTCCGGTAGAATGCAGTAGAGCGAAAAAGGTGTCTCTTCACCGAACAAGGCGATTGTTGTCGACGGCACAACAACCCGTGGTCAAAGAGCGCCACAGGACTTCACGCACGAACGAGACACCACCGTCGGCGCGAGCAGCAGCCGCACATAACGAAAGAAGCAGCAGCAGTGTGAAGTGAAGTGTGGGAAAATGGAGGACCAAGGACCCCTCACCGGGCACTGCTACCACTTGCACGGCCTCAGCTCGGGCAAGAAGAAGGAACTGACCGCCCTCATCGAGGATAATGGGGGCGCCGTGACCTACATCTTTGGCAAGACGGTGCCCCTCCCACTCACCCTCCCCACGCCAACAGCACCCCAGTAACGCCAACCCGCAAGCCATGATGAAACCTGGCAAAAACCCATTGAATTTATTTTCTTTTTACTATTTATTTATTCATCTTTTTCTCTTTTGCCGGTCAGGTGACGCACCTGCTGACGACGAAGGAGGAGCTCGCGGCCAACACCTACAAGATCAAGCAGGCCCGCCATGTGGGCCTGCAGGTCGTCGAGGAGGACTTTTTGCACTCCCTCCTCGCCCAGGCCGCCACCTCCCGCCCAGCCAGGGTGCCCCCCCTCGTCCCCCGCTTTGCTTGCTTGCTTGCTCCCCCCCCCAATGATGTGCCCGCGTAACTGGCTGACGTACTGGCTGGCTGCAGAACGCACGCCAGGGCGCGGGCGGGACGAAGGCGTCATCGTCTGAGGAAATCATGCTGGCGGGCGGACCCACCTCGCAGGTCGTGCTCGCCCACATCTCTTCCTCCTCTGCCCACGGTATGGCGTGTGCTGCGTGTCGCGTGCTGCGTGTTGCGCGTCGTGTTCACGCGTGTGTGCACGTTGTGGGGTCATGTTGTGTCGTGCGATCCAGCGCCGATCATCTCGACGCTGCTGCCGGCGGAGGGCCCCACGACGGGCGACTTCAAGGTGGCCGTGTTCGGCCTCAACTTTGTGCCGTCGGCCAACTTCCGCATCACGTTCGGCTCCGTCACCGCCTCCGACTACGAATTCCACTCCAGCAGCTCCGTCATCTGGTACCCGGCACCGGCCTTGGGCGCTCTTGCCCTGATTTGCCCGTACTCGAGTACACGCCCTCACCCGTGGCTCGCCGGATGTGCGCTTCAGCACGGTGCCGGTGCTGAACGGCGTGGATGCGGGCGACGTGCCCGTGGCGGCGTCCAACGACGGCGGCCGCACCCTGGGCTTCCCCGTTCCCTTCCGCTTCTTCGGTAACCTACCACACGCAATACGACACAAGGCACACACCACACGCACCACACACACACGACACACACCACACACACCACACACCACACACGCACACGACACAACACGCGTGACATCTCATCGCTTTCTCGCGCGCTGCAGACGCCCACTCGCCGGCGCTGTACAATAGCCAGGAGCAAAAGATCGCCCTCCTCCGGGGGCAGCTGCGAAACGTGTCGCGCGCGATCGCCAACATCCAGAAGATGGAGATCGAGCTGCGCAAGGAGCTCAAGAGCATCACCGGCGTCGAGCTCCTCGGCCAGCCCGAACCCGACACTAGGGGCGGCGGTGGCCTCCGCGGCAGCAAGCAGGGACTCCTCGAAGGCCCCGCACGTCGCGCCAAGAAGTCCGGTACCCACTTTTGTTGGCCTTTGCACGCCTCATGGACACGTGTGCGTGTGCATGTCAAGTGTGCGTGTGCGTGTGCTGACCGTGATGTTGTACATGTGTGCCCCAAGACGACGAGCGCGAGATCCGGATCTTCTTGAGCTCGCCCTTCAAGGACATGCAGAAGGAGCGGGACGCCGTGGTGCGCACCATCATCCCCAAACTGCGCAAGATCTGCACCGAGCGCGACGTCCTCATCACCTGCATCGATCTACGCTGGTACGTACAGCCACGCCATGGCGTAACGCCCTCCCCCGTGTGCACGCGCACATGCCGCGCATTCCATACCCAAGTGGCGGACAGCAAGAGTTGATATGTACGTCGACACGTACAGGGGCGTGACGGAGCTGCAGAGCGAGCAGGCGGCTACGGTGCTGATGTGTCTGCGGGAGGTGGACAAGGCCAACGTGTTCGTGGGCATCTACGGCGAGCGGTACGGCTGGTGCCGCTCCAAGGACGGCGTGGGCGCCGAGGACAAGCTCATCGCACGCGCCCTCGACACCGCCGCCAAGGACTTCCCCTGGATCAACAAATTCTCCGATCGCTCCATCACCGAAATCGAAATGCGCATGGTACGTGCGAACACACACACACACACACACTCATCACCGCACACGCGCACCGGCTGGTATTGATGGGTGTGTGAGTGGGTGGGTACGACTAGGTGTTGGCCAACCTGGCCGATGTGGAGAAGTCGGCGTACTTCTACCTGCGCGATCCGTACTACGTCGAGTCGGTGCCGGCCGCGGAGCGCGCGATCTACGAGAGCGAGGGTCCCTACGAGCAGGGCAAGCTGTCGGCTCTCAAGCTCGATATCACCCAGTCCTCGTTCCCGGCGCGCCAGTACCAGCGCCCATCCCAGATGGCCGAGTTCCTCTACGAGGACATCCGCGACCTCATCAACCAGCGCTACCCGCCCGGCAGCGCCCTCGGCGTCCTCGACAGCGAGCGCTTCCGCAACAACAGCTACGCCCGCTCCCTCACGCAGGTACGCGCCCTCCTCTGTTCTACATCGTCGTATCGAGTGCGTGCGTGCGTGCGTGCGTGCGTGCGCGGCGCGGCGCGTTTCCTTCGACTGAGTGGTGCGTTGCGGGGTGGCGGGTTGCAGGTGTACTTGGCCAAGGAGCAGTACTTCATCTTCCTGGACAAGCACCTCACGCGCGACCGTCCTCCTCCGCTGGTCATCGACGGCGTGTCGGGCATCGGCAAGTCGGCCCTCCTCGCCAACTTTGCCAAGCGCTACCGGTACATATCGGAAAGTTTCACAGTTTCCGATGCGAACTGGAACGTTTCTATTCCAAAATGTGCCGCTCACGCGTTGGCTGCACGTGTGGTGGTGGTGTGTGGTACGCAGGGAGCACCATCCGGAGGACATGGTGCTGTGCCACTACGTGGGCTGCTCGCCGTCGTCGACCATCTACTCCCTCCTCCTGTGGCGCATCCTCGCCGAGGTCTACGACTTCCTCAACCTCACCTGGTCCCTGCCCGACAGGTACGTACCTCAACACCTAACACACACACACACACACACACGGCACGCAACCTCACACGCCCGCAGACACTCTCAGCCACCTCTCTCTCTCTCTCTCGTGCGTGTCGTGCGTGTCGTGCGTGTCGTGCGTAACGTTTGTGTCGTGCGTGTCATGCGTGTCAGGCAAAA